ATAAAATATATTTTTTTAAAAAATAAAGCAGTAAGGGAAAGTTAACTTGGGACAAGGGGTAGGTTTGTCTAGTTCATTCCAGTTTTCTCAGGTTCAGACTGACCCTAGGATATGCCTGAGCTATTGTTACCATGGTCCACTTACTTAATGTTCAGCTTCCTTCCTAAGTTTTGGTTTCAGGGCTGGTTCTGCTGGAAAACCCAGTGTTTACTTCTCTCATTACCTACTGTGTTTGCCCTGCGCATCACAGGTGTTTGATTCAAGGGGAAGATGTTTCGTATTGTATATTTTTTAAAGTGCTCTTTTGAAACATTTTCCAAAATTGGTTTCCTTTAGCTGTGAAGGAAGAGTTAAGACATTTTAGATTTAATCCCAAGTAGAAATGCATTCAGAGGGGAAAAAAGTCTTAAAGGGGAAGGAATAAAACTTTATACCTCCAAGCAAATATGATTACCAGGGCACATTCAAATCACAGAGCTCTTGGGTTTGTTTCAGACCTCAGAGGGAACATTAAAATCATAGACAACTGTGCACATATTTTTGTTTCTCCAGCTCAAATCTCCTCTGATAATTAGATATTTTCTATTTGGATCCTGGAATCTAGTATACAGTCCAGAGTCACATGCCTCCCACCACAATTAGACTCACTTGGCCTGCTTCTTTGCATTAATGTTGCTGCGTCCCTCCCCTGGTCTGCGTAATCGGACTCTGCCTGGGAGTCTGCATTGCCGGTTTATTTCCCAGGTCATTAGGATGCAGTCTCTTGAAACCACAGGCCTGAAGAACGGGCCATATGCAGGGATTTTCTAGGAGAGAAAAATGGTATTGAGAGGAATGGATTGGGATTTAGGAAGTATTAGAACTAGAAAGAAGAAGCTCAAAGCAGTGAGTTCAAAAAGATTTTATTTTCATAATTAAACTCCTAAAAACATCCAGTTTTGATTTCCCATGTTTTTACAGTCTGACTTTGCATTAAATTGAGTGTTTATCAAATGACTCTTAAAATCAAGCATAAAACATTTTTATTAATAAAGAAAATTGTCCCCAGCTAGTGGCAGGACCTTGTGGAGATCATTCAACCTCATTGAGCCTCAGTTTCCTGAGTTTCCTTTCAATCATGTGATTCTCTGTTTTCATCAAGAGAAAACACTTTCTGGTCCTATAATTGTAGAAGGAAATAAGAGTAGATGAGTCATAAAGACTAATTTCATGGTAGTTCCCTTGTGTTTACATATGATGACTCCAAGTATGTTGTATATCCCCACACATACCGTTCACAGTGGCTCATCGTAACTTTATTACAGTGTTTATGCTACGTGGGAGGATTTCAAAAGACTCTCCATACATCAGGAATGGCTATTAAAAATACCTTTTCACAGCTGGTTTTCCCAAAACACATACTGAGAAATAAATCTTAGTCTCTTTTCTATTTTGAAGCCACTGTTCTTTTGTTGCTAGGATGTTGTTGAAGAAGCAGAGGCCCCCCCCCCCCCCCACAGGGCCTGACATAGCAGAGATGATAGTCCACTTGTGAGTGAGGAAGAGGGATTCTT